ATACAAGGAAAAGTCCTAAACCAGATCCGAAAAGAAATTTGGAATCCACGATGCAAGAAATTAATCGAATGGGAAAGTGCAAGGCAAAAATATCAGTGTAAATGCCTAGGCGCAGCTGTTTTTTTCCAGCATTTGTGCGTCAGGTAGAGCACGGTAGTTTACACCGCCAGACGCGTACCCTTATGGGGGGGAGTAAACTTGTTTTGAAAAAAAAAGACTGGGGAATATAACGATGTAGAATAAGTAAGATTACGATAGAACTTCGGAGCCTGACAGCTAACGATAAACTTAGATAAATGACATCTTTATATAAATATTAACGTACGACATTTGAGAAACCATAAGTAGTAAAAAAATTTTTATGTAACATCACGGGTACGGTATATTGCGCACGTATGTACATGTACGTACACTTATTTGATTTTAGCCACGTTTCTATTAGCCATATACGTATGTGAGTAGATTGCATTACGTACGCACCACGGCTCGTCACCTTCTGTTCCTTTTATGCGTAGTGCAGATATTTTTCCCGCCTATGCAATGTTAAATAATCTCCTTACGCTAAGCCATGTAACTTTTTAATATATATCCTATTCACGGTCTCCGTGGCTTGACCAATGTGATGTATCATACCTTCTGAAATAAGGAAGGATAAATTTGTGACTTCATTGTTTCTATTTATATTACTTATTTTTGCACGGCACATAACAAATCCGACCCATTTATGTCATATGACACCCATTTATAAACACGGGAAGATGAACTGTTCCCCAAGGAAATGGAGCTGTCAATCGGTTTTAAAAGTCCCGCTTAAGTCCGAATGTTTTGTCCATAGATAGATGTGATTATTTTGACGGGAATATACAAAACCGACGGTAGGGTCTCCGAAAATAGCTAGGACCGATCGTGGACTCACCGACTTTCTAGACCCCACAAAAATAGGTTCACCTAGAACACAAAGATGGAATTTACTTATATAATAACTTTATTCTGTCTGACCGTTGTACTTAACGATGTCGACCAATCATACGAATTAAAGTTATAATGCACCTCCGATCTTTATAACACGGCCGGCTAATCACCAATGAAAGTGTACGTGTCACAATTGATTTTTAAGTCAAAACTTTGTCTCGGTTCGCATTGAATCGTTTTATCCCCTTGATACCAAACGCATAGATTTCTTAATACGTTCATATTAAAATACAAATAATAGATCTAATAGATAAGAAAAAAACATTTTTTTTCAATAGCCGTAATTAAATAAAATTATTATACATACATTGTATAGTGTCTGGTATCAAAAAATTGTATATTATAACATATAATATATAATTATTTAATTTTTTTCTTAATTTATCTAATATATAATATAATAAAGTATTAAAAATATTAAAAAATTTTAAAATTAAAATAAATATTTTTAATACTTAATGAATAATTTTTATTTTAGTTATTAGGAACTAAAATAATAGAATATATTTACAACAATAATAGTATTTTTTAAAAATAAAGAAATTTTAATTATAATAAACAACAAAATTTTTAATAAAGAATTATCTAAATTAAATCAAACTTAAAATATAAATACTTAAATACCTAAAAATTAATTTTACTTAAGACCATTTTATAATTTTTATTATTATTATTATTTTATATTGTTATTTTAATTAAAAAATTTTATATTATACACAAATTTTATAAACTAATATATATAAATTTGACTTTTTAAATATAATTTTATATATAATTTGTTATAAAAGAATATATTACTGTACTTATAATATTTATACAACTTGATATATAAAATTTAAAAAAAATTAAAAATAATAATATTAAATAAATATAAATTATTTTAATTAAAATTATTATTATTATTATTATTTTAAGCTCTCTGTCAGGTTAAATATATATGTTTTATTAATATTTTATATACTTTACATTAAAAATGTGTTGCTAAAGCTAAATTTCTATCTAACTTACTTGTCAATATTTTAAAATTTATCAAAACTTTAAGTGTAACTTTAAAATAATTTATTGTTCTATTAATAGATCAGATAAAAATCTTTTCAACTACTAACTTCATTGACTGCAGTCACTATTGTAGATTTTAATTAAAAATTATTTTATAAAACTAAAATATTTATATTAATATTTTTTTATATTTTTTAAATAAATAAATTCTAAATTATAATAAAAATTTTTGTCCCCCACTGTAACAAGTTGCACTTTAAAATATAGCATACACAGTATATACTGTACATGCAGTATACAACTTGATAAAAATGGTGATTTTCAGTATCTGATCGAGAAATACAGTAAGATCAGACTTCCAGCATGTCTTTATATTGGTCGGCAAACAGTAATTTTTGGAAACGCCTGGCTATTCTTCGCACAAACAGCTCAACGTGTAAACACCTGGGTATAAGCTTTATAAGTTTGAGACGACGGATATCAAGTTTAGATACGGCCCAAGAAATTGAGAAGGCCAAGAGGTGGTTGAAAAAGTTCACTAGAGATAGTATTCCCAGAGGTACCGTCAAAGTTTCATGAATTTTACTCGAACGCAAATCTTAACGGAAGTTTGTACTCAAAAATAATAGATTCATTGAATATCTCTTTTGCTAGAAGTAGTGGACCCGGTGGACAGAATGTGAACAAGGGTATGCTTCCTTAACTAATAAGTCTAACGTTTGGATTTAACGAACAATTTTTCTCCCCGAAAATAGTCAACACCAAAGTGGACTTGCGATTTAATCTCGATCAAGCATTTTGGATACCCGAATATGCACGGAAGAAATTGGCGATTCTGGTAAATAAAGAAAAAACAAGCCTCAAGAATACATCCATATCTTAGAAATAATGAAATTTAAACAATCAGAAATCTAGTAAAATAAATAAAAAAAATGAATTGGTAATAACTTCCGATAGAACGCGTTCCCAATTAAAGAACATCGATGATTGCATAGAGAAACTATATGAAAGTATACTGGAAGCAGCGCAAATACCGAAGGCTCCGAGCGAAGAAAAATTAGAACGAATTGAAAAATTGTAAGAAGTTTAAAGCATCATTGTTGACGGCATCATTATTTTAATTTAAACTAAAGCCGTCTTACGTCAATATTAATTAGAAAAAAGGCAGAAGACGCCAGGCGAAAGTTGGAAAAGATGCATCGATCCGCAAAAAAATCCGAACGTAGGTATTATGGTGATGATTAAATTATTTGAAAGTATTTGTATCAAATAGTAGTGCCATTTATGTTAATTTATCGGGCTAAATTTAAAATCATTAATAAGAATTTCGAAATTTTAATTGAAATGTAATCAGAAGTAGTTGTCTATTTAAATATAAAGATTGTGTAGAAGTCAAACAGTTTTCATTTCGTTTAAGTAAAATTATACGCACGTGCCATAAAGATCTCCACAGACAATTGACCTCCAAATTCGGCACGAAATGGCAACAATGATTCATGTGATTGGCATAAAATCGAGTAAACAAAGAGATCACAGCGGTTCGCCTTAAGCGAATATGGAGCAGAATACACAAAATACCGTTTTATCAAGTCAGCAGCTTCCACTGGCTAACTCACGGGTGCCCTTGTTTAGCGAGTTCTGCCGTTTTCTGGAGATAGTGTCGAAGGAAAAAGGAGACGCGAAAAAAAGAAAATTGGACAGCTACTTTAAAGTGAGCCATTAGTTATGAGTCACGCACGCACGCATTCCCTGATATACCACTATCATTACCCCCATTTAACAATGCACGTAGAATTGGAGACGCCGATATGGCAATGACCTTTATCCAGTTTTGCGACTATTAATACCACACGTAAACTTGCATTCCATTTCTAATTGACGAACCTACCTTCAAGTGCGGTGAATAATTCTTGTGTTTTGTAAATGTCAGCTGGACAAAGAAAGAACGAGCTATGGCATGAAGGAAAGCGTCATTGCCAAGATATACATAGGAGTTTTGGGACTATCAAAGAATTCGGTTAATGCAGAACGGTTGATCCATTGGAAGCTGCCCGGTAGCGAGAAGAATGTAAGAAGCGAAGTTTGAACCTGATTCTGACTGAGGACGATTTATAACATTGTGAATCAACACCTAATCAGCATTTAATCAACGTTTAATCAAAGAAAACGGCGGGTGATTTCGCATCGATAGCATTTGAGGTGATAGCTCCACGATCCACCGTTGTCGGACATGGAAAGATGCCAATTGACGATGTGAACAATCAGCTGGACATCTTAAATGCTGCTAGTGGCCAGTGAGTGATAGCGTTTAGCAACTTCACGTTGATTGGATTGTATCGACTGATTAAGCTTTCTTATTGGGATTAAAGTCAAGAGTATAGAAATGTCATTCGTCATTTCTTTGCAAATTACACCGCCGTGGAGCAAAAATGGGTTATTCGAATCATTTTGAAAGGTATTCTTTGGACGGGACTCGGCATGCAATTATACCTCATCCACCGCTAATATACATCCATGTGTTGTGTCTGTCCGGTCGGTTAATCAGCACTTCATGTAGGATTAAGTGAAAAATCAATATTCCAAGTGTTTCACCCGGATGCATCGAACTTATTCAACGTCTGCAGCGATTTGAGAAAAGTGGCACACGATCTGCAGGATTCTCACACGAAATTGGCCTCATCAGTTGAGGGATTTTCATGCGCTTTCGTGAATTCAAGAGATTCCTCCTTTTATAACGCGTTTAACCATTTCCATTGTGATGTAGGAAATTACGCTTTTTCATCCATTCAAACCCATGCTCTCGAAACCGGTGGCGATTCAAAACATTGTCAAACTGATGAAAGGCAGTTTTTGGATAGAGGAAAAATTGGACGGCGAAAGAATGCAGTTGCATATGAAAAATGGACGATTTGAGTATTATTCGAGGCAAGCCTCGCCGGTTTTACCGATTTCAAAGATTTTTGACTCTACGTGTGACGAAATTTTTTTCTTTCTTTAGGAAAGCCACACAGTACACGTACATGTATGGGTCAAATAAAAACGAAGGGTCTTTGACGCGATACATACACGATGCGTTTAACCCAAGGGTCACAGAGTAAATAATATAATAACGTTCACCTCGTCGAGTCTTTTCTTGGTCACGTTGATTCGTTTAAATTTATTATTATTATTATTATTATTATATATATATGTATATTAATCTATTTAACAAACATACCCCGATATGATATTCTTTAATTACATTAGAATTATCCTCGACGGAGAGATGCTGCCATATGATTCGAACTTGGATATCTATATGCCATTCGGTTTTTTGAAGCCCATTGCCATGGGTACGTAGGATACGTAGAGTCATCGTTGCATGAAAGATAATTAATTGGATGTTCTCAAAAACGTGTTCTAGATCAATCTGTTAGCGAATATAGAAGCGCGTATCCTTTATGTATCCCGAATCACCTTTCCTGCATCTCTCGTAATACTTTGTTTTTTTTTTTTTTGTTCCTTGATTATTTTAAATTCAAACAGTCGTTGCATTTGATGTGATTTTAATCAATGGAAAAATGGTCATTGATCAACCTTTGGAAAGACGACGTGAGTGGCTCAAGTCTTTGATCACAAACAAACCGGCACATATCAAAGTTCTCGAACATAAAGTGGGGAGAGAAATGAAAGATCTTTCGGAGGCGTTAGATGAGGCTAATATGAAGAGGTTAATTTTCTAGACAATATGCACAAATACACGCATGTTTAATTAATATATATATATGTTGATCAAGATCAAGGACAGTATTTTAACGATCGACGTGTGTTAATTGATATAGGCAAGAAGGGATAATGGTAAAAAACCCCACGAGTAATTATATTCTCAACGAACGAACTGATGATTGCATCAAGGTTAAATTGGATTACCTGGATACGCTCGGAGATAGTTTGGATTTACTGATAATCGGTGGGTATGTGGAGAATATTTTTGCCTAAAATTTCGTCGATTTTTCTAAAAAATGCGTTCGTCATTACAGGGGCGGATTATGGTGTCGGAAAGCGGTCGAACGCGTTTGGAAGTTTTATGTGCGGGTTGAGGGACAGCAATGCGCCTGAAGGAAAACCGAGGTCATTTCAGATCTAGCGCATATGATGCGTCTGACACTCATCTAAAATTTGCGTTTGCGATTTCTCAAAAAGATTCTTGTCATTTTGTCGATTTGGCACGGGTTTCTCGATGAAGGAAAACGAACAACTGAGAAATCTCGAGGGATGGACACGCCTCGATCCTAAAAAAATACCCGATTGGCTTGTGGTGGGTCGCGACAGGCCGCACGTGATAATCCCACCAGACATGTAAAAAAGGTTACTTTTTGCTTTGGGGCATTATCGGCCGTTAAACTTAATAAAACGTCCTTTTATCGAATTCTCAAAAGGTCGGTTGTAGTTCAAGTGAAAGCGGCGGAGATAGTGCCTGCAAGTGAGTGAACCAAAATGAAGATGACAGAAAAAATTTCTATTCCCTTATTTATATAAATCAACATCCCATTAAGACATGTTCGCGGCCGACTTTACGCTTCGATTTCCACGGTTCGAAATGATTCGCAGTGATAAAGACTGGAGCACTGTCACCAGCTTCGAAGGTATTCTTTCCTTTTCGTACCTTTATATTCTTAGTCTTGGTTTGTCCGTTTTAACGTTCACATGTTACCCCCAAAAAATTGAATTCAGAAATGACGAATCTTAGAATGCAAATGGTAGGCCATCCGCAATCGAAAAAAGTGACTGAAAGTGATTTGATGTAAGCTGCCTTCCTTTAAAGTGTTTCGCAATGGTGATCTTACGCTAATTATTGCCAATTGCTCGAACAGAACGAATTTGAGAGCGGCTAGGAGAAGGACTCAGAATATGCGAAGGGTATCCGTCTCATCCAGCTCACATTATTTTCCTTTTAACTATCTAGTGATCTTTTTCAACCATATATGTAGAAAATAGTTGGTTTGTTAGAGTCCTTTGTTTCTCTGGATTCTGCGGTGGAGAACAAATCGGACATGTTAAAAGGAATGGACTTTCGTAGGTGTCGGCTTGCAATTCACATCCAATTCAATAAATATCATAGCTAAAAATGACTCAATTCCTTAGACATAGTCGTTAAAGATTACAACAAAACAGATTTGGAACGCATGATCAAGGAGCACGGTGGAAAGTTTTTCCAACATCCCGACGCATCACCAAACATTCGCATTATAGCGGATTCGTTAAGTGCGTAGATCTTTCTCATTAAATAATGGTTTCCGTACCTTCATTACTCCAATTTTACTCCAATTCTGGAGCCACATGTCGTATTATTCTAATTCTTGGGGAAATCTGTCACCTGTACGTAATACAGCCATTCGAGTTAACAACATAATCAAGATGGGAAAACATGATGTTATACGCCCGCAATGGATTTTAGACTGTGTCAAAGCCACGAGGGTCATACCCCTAAACCCAAAGTATGTAATAGAATTACATGAGGGTTCAAATGGCGACACGTGCTGACCAAATTCTAGGTATATGTTATACACCTCAGAACCTACTAAGCAAGAGTTTATCAAGAGGATGGATAGACATGGCGATAGTTACACGGATCCTGTCGATGCTGATTCTTTGAAAGAGGTAATCGATCCATCTGTCTTTTATTCATGCATCAGTTTTCTTTTACGGGGCTTGCCGATCGATCATCGCGTTTGCAGATTTTCGAGATGATTTCTGTCGATGAAGGAACCCCCGAGACTGAAAACGAAAAAGAAAGAAAACGCCGACAGTTGAACGACGACATTGAAAGGCGATACTTCAAAGGCGAAGGGTTACCAACTGGTCTGTTTAGACATCACGTGGTGCACATCGACTACCCGCCTCCGAGAGATGAGAATGACATCGATGATCTATGGGCTCTGCAGGAGGGATGTCGTGATAGGTGTGGAAACGATTTTCTGTTAAGAATGGGAATGTCAATGTTTCGCGTAGTCTTTTCATTGATTGTGATGCATTCGTGTGTGTGACTGTACATCGCGTTAGGCTGAAGCTCGTTGAATCTATCCTTCGATATCACGATGCTCAAATTGCAACCGATCCCTACTCAAATAAGATCACACATGTGATCTTTGATGAGAAAGATCTGAGCCGTGTTAGGGAGTTGAATAATCGTTTTACCAGGTAATCAATCCTCGAACTCTACGATATCCGATTATACATACTATATTTAGCGGCAAACCATGTTTATTACGTAGCCTGAGAAGTAGAAAGCCGCTACCACGCTTTGTACGATCATCGTGGGTTATTGATAGCGAAAACATAGGTGCATTGTTAAATGAGAAAGGCATGTATACATTTATTTATGAACCGTCTAATCTTCGCAACAATTATTCATTTTTAAATTTATCAAATAGACTATGACCCCTTGAGCCTGAGAGGCTTTTGGAATGACAAATATAGTTTAGAATTATGAACTTTTGGTCTGAAATCTTAGGGATCGAGATAAACTCGAAAAAAAAAGTCAAACCTTTATTAAGTTAACGAGTGACAGTTATATATAGAATACATTACAGGATAACGATATGCATTAAACATCGATGGCAATCTCATGTACTATATATACTGTACCTAATGAAAGAAAAAGAAGGCGTCAATGTATTGAACCAATAAATGATAATTATTGTGTTCGACCGATTAAATTGAGGTCAGAGAACCTTGCATCAACACATTATTTTCTGACGGCAATTCCTATCAATGAACATTTGAAGATTATTTTTCTTCATCCCTCTCCGGCGAATGAACACTTTTGTTTTCCGGTCAACTGTAAATTTGAACGAATGTGTTCAACACCGAGGAGATGATAGAAACTAACCTTTCGAACGGTTGCACATAATAACGATGCATCAACTAAAAGATTTTTTTTAAACAATTTCATCTGATTAATAAACTGCGAAAAATGATTGCTCAATATTAAAAGAAAAATAAATGGTTGAGGGTCAGACATCCAAGGAAGATTTTCGCCATCATCAGGTGATGATACCTTTCGGTGGAAACTGCGAATAAATGGAATATATCATCATCCCATCACTTTAAAAAAAAAAAAAAAATGCCTACCGTCTTCAGCTCATACATGTCGACCAAAACAAACTACAGAAAGGGAATAATTATTTCATTAGCAGCTGACATAAATACTTATATTACTTATATTCAACTTTTTTTATTTTTTGAAGTGGTGTCAGACATAAACTGGCAATGTAAAAAATTCTTGGGTTTCACCATGGTCGATAAGATGGGGAAAGAATAATAAGGTATCATCATATTACACCACTCAGGTGTGAACAACATTCTCGCGCACGAAATATCCTGGATGAGATAGATACCTGATTGTGAGGGCATACTTCCTTAAGGAAACGCGTTATGTTGTTCTTCGAAACTAGGTTGATGATGGAAAGAAAAAAAAAAAAAAAGAGATTTTTTTTTTTCTCGATTCCGAGCATGAGTATTTATAATAAAAATAATAATCCCGTGATTTTGTAAATATTTTTACTGATGATCTGATCAAAACGATCTTCGATCTAATGACCAAGTCCATTGAAGATGTGGTCGAAATTCCGTAATTTTTTACAAGCTAATACGTCAAGAGTTCAAGAGAGGACGAGATTCCTCTCACAGATGACTGGTGATTCGGGATTAGGCATGTTCGAAACTACAGCGGCTCGAATTAAATTTAATCGATTTAGATTAAAATGCCAATCTTGTGTTTCGTATCATTAGGATACGGGGATGGCGGCGAAGTCGTGAGACCCGTGAGAGGGATGCATGATCGATTTGGTACTGAGAATTCGAAATTCGAACACATCCGAAAGATCGGCTCTTCGATCGCAGAATTGCATTGTTTCGAACAAGTTAAGATAATGATTACCTCGTGCCGCGATTTACGTTACCAATAATTACCTTGAAATTTACCGAAAATTAATCCGTGCGACCGCAGATATCTGTTCCGATATTAGAATTCTCTCACGTATTTGAGCGCACCCTAGGACAAGACTCGGATATAGTTGGGAAAGAGTTGTACAGTTTTTTAGATAAGGACGGTCACCTCACTTTAAGACCCGAAGGGACGGCGGGTGAGCACGGTGTTTTCCTTTGGAATGATGTGCGCCCCAACAAAATTTTCGATTCTCATAACTGATGTTCAAACAGGGATTGTCAGAGCCTTGCTGAGTAACAATCGTGATCGCGAACTGCCTCAAAAGTACTATTACCACGGACCCATGTTTCGACACGAGAGGCCTCAAAAAGGAAGGTTAAGGCAGGTGAAAATCTTTGCAAATTTTCCCATAATGCAGCGATCTTGGTGTCGCTGGTAAATCCTCTTAATCAAAGCGAATCTGATGTACAAGTTTGTGGCTAAATCTCTAGGTATTGCTTTATTTAACCGCATTCACACTTCCGTTTATAACAGTTTGAGCAATTTGGAATCGAGATGTTTGGTCATGAGGGTCCTACTTCGGACATTGAGGTAATCGATATGGCCTGGTCATTTTTGAATAAAATCGGAATAACTGGAGCTATAGAGGTGAGGCAACTTAATTGTACGCGATTTCGAATCTTCTCCGTGCTCATTGGTCATTCCGTTGGTAACTCGAAGTCACATTTCCGTTAGCTCGAAATTAACTCCTTGGGTGATGTCGAATCGCGCATGCGTTATAGAGATGTGATAAGAGACTATTTGCGTCATAATGAAGTCCGGCTATCTGAAGAGAGCGTGAAAAGGTATGCCATGCCGAACCGATAACATTGTGATCTTTTTTTTTTTTTTTTCACGTAAACTTTGGTAACAATGTGCGCTCGTTTTTGATAAAAGGATATCAACGAATCCGTTACGTGTCTTGGACTCAAAAAATAGTAAAGATGCGTTAGTTATTCAGAATTGTCCTTTAATCACAGAATATTATAGCTCAAAATCTGCCGAGAGTTTTGAAGTTGTATGCCAAGGACTTCAAAGGTTAGGCATACCCTATAAAATCAATCCTCGACTTGTCAGGGGTTTGGATTATTACGAGAACACTATATTTGAGTTCAAGTGTGACCATGCTAGCCTAGGAACCTCCCAAGGAACCATACTAGCTGGCGGCAGATACGATGGTCTCGTACATTTAATGGGTGGAAAGGAGAGAGTCCCCGGAATAGGGTATGACACTTTGGTGTATATAAATCCATACACGGTTTTTCTCAAGTTAATTGACCCTTTACACGACAGGTGGGCCGCGGGCATCGATAGGTTGGCTCTAATACTAGACGAAAGTTTCGTGCCGCTGCAAGAACGGCCGGTCGCAGTAATAGTAATACCGAATCGAGATGAACCGTCCTCTGACGACTTTAATGAAAAACACAACAAGCTTGACTATCACGGCCTTAGCATATCTAGATCATTGCGTTTACACAATATAAAGACACTGTTTTATCACGAGCCACAAAGCGCTCGCAAGTCAAATTTGAAAGCCGCCTTGGGTTATATATTGAAGGCAGGTGCATCACATGCAATACTCATTGGAGAGGATGAGGTGGAAAGAGGGGAAGTTCTGGTGAAATACCTGGATTCGAAAATCCAAAAGGGTGTTAAAATCGAAAACGTCGTGAACGCAATCACAGAATCTAAAAAAGAAGGCAAACAAGGATTTTGAATTTTCTGTAGAACTTTTCATTTCATTTTATCTGATTCACGATTGCGTTTATTTTAATCTTTGAGAAAATATCAATTCCAACAATAAAATGATTTTATTATTTTATTGACCCATTTTCTTCGACTTTGTAAAATATTTGACATATTTAAATATATTATTAAAGTGTCAATCAAATTATTAAGAAAAAACATTAAATCTTTGTTATTTAGATTATTTAGAACTTTGGATATGATACAATCTCGATCGGTATATAGCAAGTATCACCTTTTCAATTTCTTTGTCGCAAATAATAGCTCTATTTTTTTAAAAAAAATTTTTTTATTGTAATCTGGTAGACTTAAAAAATATGATTTTAACTTTAAAAAAATTTTTTTTTCCTCTGTCAGGTTAGGTATATGCTTTATTAAATATATGTATACTTTACATTGGAAAATGTGTTGCTAAAACTAAGTTTTTATCTAACTCACTCATCTATATTTTAAAATTTTATTAAAACTCTAAGTGTAACTTCAGGAGTGATTTATCATTCTATTAGTAGTTTAAGTAAAGACCCTTTCAACTATTAACTTTATTGCTTGCAGGTCACTACTACAGATCATTTTACAATGTTCTGATGGAGCTTAAAACTCATCCATTTTATTCTATACTCCATTCTTTTTGTTAGAATTTCTTGAAAGATTTTGTCTTTTAGATTTCCTTCTTCTGATAATGATTCTCTTCTTTTCAAGAATATGATTTTTTTATCTGAAGGATATGAAGGTCTTTTTGTCTTATACTTTTTATTAATCACTCGTGTTTGTTCCCATTCAATTATCTTCTTATATCTCTTGTTTCAGACTTTTTTATGAACTTAATTGCAAACTTTTTTTTGTATCTTTATTATTCACTTTCTTACTATTTTTCTTATATATTTATCATGACATTTTAAGTTTACTATTTCTAGAACAAGATCATTTTTTATAAGGCCAATACAAAAACTTAAGATATTGAGATTAATTTTAAAAATCTGTTTCACTATTTTGAGATTCATTTATCAAACTTTCCTATTTCTTCATGATTATTGATAATTAGCTTAATACTTTTTCTTTAACCTCTCTTTTTTTTATATATAGATTTTTTAAAGTTTCTAATAATATTATCTAATATTTATTATATATCTTTTATAGTTAATCCTTATAGATATAGTTTCTTCTTGTTAACTATATATAATACATTTCACTTACTTATATAGGTCTAATCTTCTTATAATCAATTTACTTAAAATATATAACTTATCATTAATTAATTTAAAGAGAAAACTTTTTTGTTGAAATTGTTTGAAAGATATATTCCATATACATCTACTGTATCTTTGATTATTTTCTATACTAACTTCTATATATAAGTTTGATATTTTTAAATCTGGTGATTTTATTTTTCTTCATTCTATTTTGTTGCATCCACCAATAAGCTATTGTTTTATTATTAATGTTCTTAATAAACTATTGTTTAGGATTTTTTCTTGTTACTTGATTTTAGTAATAATCTTATACAAAATAAAATTTTTCTATTCAATTGATGAAAATTTTAGTGCTTCTTTTACTAAGATATTTGTTTCTTTATTATAGAAATCATTTGAATATGTCTTAACTTTTGTGAGCCTTAGATCTATATTTTTCTTTTTTATTAGTTTTATCACATATAAAGTACCTAGAGAAATCAAAGTTTTTTTTTTAACCATCTTTTATATGTTCTTCTTAAATTCTTTTTTTCTAAAGATTTTTACTTATTCTTAAATTCTTTTTTTCTAAAGATTTTTACTTAGAAATATAGGCCTAACTATCTATATAAATCTCAATTATACTTTCAATTAGAATTATCTGGAATATTGTTATAATTGCTATTAATTTGATTTTTATAAATAAAAATCAACAATTTACTTCTATTTAGAACTTGCTTTTTTTTTTCTTTTTCTATCTAGATTTAAGTTATTCCCATTTTCATTTTTTCTTTTTTATAATTAAGAAATGATCCATTAGAATAAAAAATTGATTATTCTTTGGATTTAAGATTGTGTTGAAATATTTCTATTAAATAATTTTGATATATTCCCATTCTAATATTTTTTTGAATAATAGATTCTTTCCAGGTTTCAATATTTATATAATTTACTTTATTATTTTGAATTATAAAAAAGTTTTGATCATTGTAAATCACTTTTTTGATCTTTTTCCTAAGTACTATCTTGGAATTAGAGTTTTTTAATTCACATATTCTTTTAGTAAACTTTTTTATATTAAGATATAATATTATATATGTCTTATCTATTTTTTTTTCTATGATACAATCATTATTTTTTATTATGCCATATTAAGATCTAATTATATTTTAAGAAACACACTACAAAAATATTTTCTGAAAATATTATAATAGTCTCCAATAGCTCTTAGGAACACTAGATGCCTAGGCATAATAGAATAGTTGACAAAAATAGTACTCATTAAAAATAGATAAAATTGGATTGTATTGAATAAGGAAGGGTAGTATAATTAAATAGTTATAAGTATAACCTAATCTGTACTCTTCAAAAATTCCAATCAATAAAGTTCAGTCAGTATGACTAATTAAAATAATAATAATAATAATTTTAATTCTTATAAAAATATATATTATACATAAGCTTTATTTAATTCTTGTTTAGTTTTAAATATGTTATTATAAAGTTTTATTTCTTTAAAATAAGAATATTTTAGTATATAACAAGCTTTAACTTTTGTTTTCTTTAATATTTTAATTATTAAATTAAAGTATATTTATTTATTTCAAAAAAATTTTAAGTAGATATTTCTATTTATTAAAATATTATTAATATTAATATTTATTAATACTCTTTTTATAGATTTTTTGATTATATATCTAAAAGATATTCACAAAAGAAATAATTTTTCAAAACTTTTTCTACTAATCCTTTAATTATGCATAAAAAAGATGTTTATAAAAAGTTTTTTACTTCTTTATTAATAAAGTTTTAATACTTTTTTTAAAACAACTTGAAATTTAACTTCAAAAGACATTTCTACCCTTTTCATATTGTTTACAAGTCTCTTTATCCAAAAACTTGAATTCAAGTGATCAAAAAAAATCAAGTAATATCTTTGATATCAATAGCAAGAAAGTTTTTAAAGGAAGAAAAACTGACTGTAAAGTATCTAAAGACTCTTCTAATTTTTGAAACAAAAAGTTTATAGAGATTTTGTTATAGTTAAAAAACTTATTTTTTCCATTTTAACTATCTTAGTTCTCTTAGAGCTTTTACTTTCATGGTTTTCTAGAAATTTTGTCTATCTCAATTTGATTTTAAATTTTTGATAGTACAAATTCTCACTAAAGATAATTGCTAATATGAAACATATTAGTTTTTAAAAAAAAAATTTTTTCAAACTGTCTTATCCTATATTACTTTGAATAATTTTATTAAAAAAATATCATATTTAGGAACAATTGAAATGAATATTTTTCCATACTATTTAAGGATTTACAGATTATTAGATAGGAAATAGTATAGAGGACTATCTATTTATATAACTTGATCTAAATCTAACTTAACCAGAATAAAAAATATAAATGACTGTCTAGTGTAAATAATTTCTTTTAAAAATAAAGAGGAAATTGATCAATATGCTAAATAGTGTATTGTTTGTTTCTTCCTATTATTAGATTTGATACTATTTAAGATTTTCATATATTAATTGGCTTGTTACCATCTATTAGAGGGCCTAACTTGTTCAAGATATTTAGCATTAACTGATACTAAGGATTTTTTATACTAGTTAAGAACTAGTCTATGTTAAAAAAGAGGAGAAATAAAATAAAGAAGGAAAAGTTAAAAATATTTATAAAAAAAGAAGATAAGGAAAAAAGAAGGGATACTTAACAATAACTCTTTTCTCAACTGTGTTTTTGAAAAAAATACTTATTCTATAGCTATAATACTTTTGAAAGATAACAATAGAGAAAAGACTGTATCTAAAAATAGTTTTCTAAAATAGTTGATAGGAATATAAGTAAGGACATAAGTCAGGCTGATTTTTGGCTATAAGAACATAATATTTCAGTTATAAAAATATATATAACTTAATAAAATAATATTATTATTATATAATTTTATTTTTTTAAAAAAAATATTAAATAAAATTATTTAAATATTAATAAATAAATTATTTTTCTTTATTTAATTTATTAAATATCTTAAAAACTTATTGATAAATAAAAATAAAATTAATTTATATTATTTTTATTAATTTATAATATAGTTTTATATTTTTTTAAATTAAAATTA